AATTGATCTCCGTAGAAGACAAATTTAAAGTTTTCTAACATACCTAACCAGTCTCCTCGACAATCTCCATGTTGACCTCAGGGTTTCTTCTAGAGTCTCACTTGCTTTCAAGCACATCAGCTCCACCAGATCGCACCACTGTCATTTGGAAGTATTGCATCTACTTAGCCAAGCAAGTAGCCATATATCCCATGTGCTTCTGGCTAAGACTTGTGCCTAGGACACTCTCACAGAGCAAATCATTGTGGCTACTTACTAAAACACTTTAAGCTTATTTAAAACTCTATTTTAATCTACCCAGCGCTTTATATTTGATTATTGAGACAATCCCTTCCTATAGGTCACTTTTTGCTGATAGAATTACCAAGAAATAAATCTTGGTCTTTTGGAACAATAAATGTCAATCCCATGATGGCTCTGCTGCCCTCTACGATGCTGCTTCAAACCTTGGGTTTTGCTGTAAACAACGTGCTATCCTGACACCTTCTGTCACCCTCCAGGGTGAGGGCTCTTCAAAACCTCAGTTTTCTCTTTTGTCTAGGCTCATGATTTTCATGGACCCAGCATGTCATCTTCACAACAGCAGTAGTGAGGACTAGGTGGGACTGGAGCAAAGGTAACAATACAACCTCTATTCTTCCCCAGATTTCTTTTCATTCATAGCTTTAGTGGACATTTCAGAACCTGAGGTGCTCTGAAGAGGCTGTGGCGAAAGTGAAAGGCCTGACAGTACAATGAGCCTGAGATCTGTTCCCAGCCCTGTTGATATCTTGCTTGCGTGACTTGGGGCAAATCCTTTAAGATTCTTTCAGCATATTCAGCAGTTTCCCCTCATACAAATACAAGATATTTAATGTGAAGTATTCTGTGCTAATAATAAGAATAATTGGTCCCGACCTGGAAATTTTGAAGAGGTTTTCCTTCTTGCCTTTATTACTTTGCAGCTCCTGGTAAGGCAGCTTGTTAGCTTGTTTGCATCCTCTGCTGGAAAACGTCATCTGCGGTCTTGTATCGCCTGCATCTCTCTTGGTTCCTGTCTCATTTTAACATTTGATCAGATCCCAACTTTTGATGCTGAAGAGCCATGGCCTCAATGAGACTGAGGCAACAAGGAACAATAGTCAGGACAGTGTCTTTCTCTTTCCTGTGTCCTCCCCTGTGAGGATTTAGGGGCTGAAAGTGAGCCCACCTCCCCGACTGGACCCAATACTCTCCATTCCAGGTAAGGGCACTGCTCTGGGTCAGCTCTTCTAAATAGCTCATACTTCCTAGTCTTAGGCAGTAAAAACCACCTTACAAGTACTATGGACCTATGTAAGTAAAAAAAAAAAAAAAATTCCAGATGCTTCCTCTGAAAACTCTCAATAATCATCTTAAGGAAAGGGGGAAGGTAATCAGGAGCAGCATGAGCCTTGGGGTAGGAGTGACCTGGGTTGGAATCCGCCACCCTCTACTTTCCAGCTATGGCAAGTTACTTAATCTTTTTGGTCTTTGGTTTCCTTAACTATAAAAAGGGGACAGCAGGGGCCAGCCCGGTGGTGCATCAGTTAAGTGCACACATTCCACTTTGGAGGCCTGGGGTTCGCAGGTTCGGCTCCCGGGCGCGCACCGACGCACTGCTTGTCAAGCCATGCTGTGGTGGGGTCCCATATACAGTAGAGGAAGATGGGCACGGATGTTAGCCCAGGGCCAATCTTCCTCAGCAAAAAAGAGGAGGATTGGCATCTGATGTTAGCTCAGGGCTGATCTTCCTCACACACACACAAAAAAGGGGGGAGGATAGCATATGGTTATTGTGAAGATTAAATGAGATAATGAAGTGCCAGCACAATGCCAGGCATATAGTGTAATAAATGGTAGCAATTATTACCCAAGGAGATTGGGCATAACCAAGAATAATTAGTTCCTTCATATGGTTTACCTCTTTGGAGGATAAAGCACTATCTAATAAGGAAGAAACGCACCAATAATGGCCCAGTTTGGGAAGCAAAGTCAAAATACCCACAGTTCTGTGTAGCCCTTCCTCCTCTTCCATGGAACCTCTTAGTGCTGGTGTGTCCCAGGGCTCAGGGCTAGAACTCTACTCTCCTGTCTATACTCACCCCCTCATTCCCTTGGTCATTTCATCCAAGACCATGGCTTTAGATACCAGCACCAGCAATATGCTTATATCTCCCAGATTTGCATCTTTAACCCTGACCTTTACCCTGAATTCCAGACTGATGTATCCAACTGCCAACTCCACGTCTCACTTGTCTACTAGGCATAGGAAACTCAACCTACCAGAAACTGAGCTCCTGCTCTTCCTACCAGAACTGCCCCTCTCACAGTCTTCCCTCTCTTCCTTCATCCCAGTCCATGTCTCCTGTTTTCATTGTGGCCACACAGGTAAAGTACCACCCTTCTGTGGTTACATTATTGCAACAGTTTCCTAACTGCCCTGCTTCTGCCCTTCCCACCTTCAGTCTATTCTCCACACAGTAGCCAGAGGGATCATATTAATATGGAAGTCAAGTCATGATATTCTATTTAGAGACCTCCAACAGTTTTCCATCTCTCTCCTTATAGAAACCAAACTCATTTCAGCAGATTATATATCTTG